AAAAAAGATTTGGGTACAAATTTGAATAAAATTTGATGAATTTTAAATTTTGTCTATATCTCCGGAAGTTTCTTTTTCTTCTTTGTGATGATTTATTTAATTACTGATAGAATTGCATATAAGTGTGCATGTAATTGTAAGTAATGAATGATTGAGATTATTGTAATATTGATATACTCAAATTCATACGGATAATAGTACATACGAAAAGAGTGAAAGAGAGAGAGAGTTTTAATGTTACATTTTTTCTGCAAAAAAGTATACATTTTTCTTATCAATAGGAAAATAATAATAATAATAATATTTTAATTAATATTATTAATATATTATTATTATTATTACTATTATTAATTACAATATAATTATAATTAAACATTATTTTATATACCATTACACGATAAATCATAATTCTTCTCAAATATAACTTAGGCTTTTTTTAATCGGATATAATTGAAGTTATTGCTTTTATCATAAACTTGTGAACGTATATCTATAACTATTTCATATCTCATACAATATATTGACACAAGTTTACTTAAAATTCATAATAGTCTTGCAATTTTTAAAAAAGAAATATTTTATATTTTGTTTCATGATATATACACATATCTTTTTTGTGTCACCAAAAGTAATAATTGATCATTTCTACTCTACGGTCATCATTAACTAAGCACAGATCTTATTATAAGTTAAATATTACTTTCTTAGGTGGTGTAATATCTTCAATTTAATGATGCATAGTACTGCAGTTTTTACAAAATAAAAATGATCATACATTATCCATTAATACTGATCAAAAAAAACCAATTAAAATAATCAGTGCTATTCATCTGTCAATTTATGACATAACTAAAAGTATTGTAATGATTATATAATAAAATAAATAATTAAAACCGGATTATAATTAAAACCGAATTATATTTAACGCGTTTCATAGAATTTTATTAAAATTTATTTTGTTTCATTACAAATTAATTATTTATATTTTTTAACGTTACCTTGATCTCTTATTTAGACTTTTTCCACCACGATAATTAGATTTTCGTTTATTTTTTGTAGAATTTTGTTTCTTATTTGCTCTGAAATATATAAATATTTTAATTTATTCTAATATTTATATACATTAATGCACACATATAAATCATGTAGTTTACTTACTCGTAACGCATTTTCTTGACATTTTTACTGCTAGTATTTGTCAAATCATTAGCAAATGAAGATCTTGATCGTTTTCTGGATCCTATAAAATTGTCATTATTTTACATAAATAGAAATAAAATCAACATTTTATATATGAATGAAAATTTTGTAAAAGTCATAATTTTCTATATACCTTTATTGTTCCTAGTATATGCATCTGTATCTATAACCGTTCTAATCTTCTTCGCTTTAAACTTTTGTTTAGCTACTCTTGCTTGATATGCTGCTATTTTTTCCAATTCTCTCTTTGCTCTATCTTCGGCTGTTTCCTTATATTGTTCCTTTTTCGCATTCTTCTTTTTTTCTTCTATCACTTTAGAAAAGTCCTTTTCCTCCTTATCTTTTTTCTTACGTGGTTGTTTCGTTGTTAATAATAATTTTTCTAACAGAAAAATAAGAATTTTTGTTCTATAATAATTGTGTTTATTATAATTAGATATTTTTTCATTAATTTAAAACATAATTTAAATCACCTTTCTCAGTTTTCCTTTCCTTAGAACTTTGGAACCAATTTCTACGATTCTTATCGTCTGAACCTTTGAGTATTTTTTCAGCTCGGTTTGCTTGATTTTCTATTTTAGCAAGTTCTCTTTCATTTTTTTCTTCTTGTAATATATTTTCTATGTCTGGTTCTAAGGCTTGTAATTTTTTATTATATTTGTCTATTATTTCCGGTGGTATTATTCTATTTTTTACAGGATTTTTAGCTTGTTTGATTATTTCTTTCACTAAATTACGTTCTTGTTCGCCAGCCAATGATACCGATACCCCACAACGACCAGCTCTGGCTGTTCTTCCGACTCTATAATTTTTTCATTCAATTTAAAATATAAATTAGATATGCAGTTTATATACACATTGTTCAATATTATACCTATGGATGTAATGTTGCATGGTAGCAGGCATTACAAAATTAATTACAGTTTTTACACCACTGATATCTAATCCTCTAGCTGCGACATCAGTTGCTAAGAGAATATCTATTTCTTCATCTTTGAATTTACGAAGATTTTCTAATCGTTGAGGTTGCGTAAGATTGCCATGAAGTTCTCCAACCTAATAAAGTATCAAAATTAACAAAGGCTCGGCACATATCGCGACCCTCAGATATTTGTTAAGGGTATATAGACAATACCCCTACAAATGTGTAAAGTTTTAAAAATATCTGAGGATCACGATATGTGTCGAACTTTTGTAAGAATCTGTATGTATATTATTTTTTTGTTTTTTCTTTTTCTAACAAATAGTTTTCAATGTAGTATCGAAAGATTTTTACCTTTATACCTAATAATCCTAATAAAATGTGCAACTGATGAGCTTGTTTTTTAGTTTGTACAAAAACCATAGCGTGATCGTGGAATGTTCTACAAATTAAAGCTGCTAATACTGCTTCGCGATCACCTTCTCTTTCTTTACGTATTCTAATAAATTCCTGACGTAAATTAAATGCAACTTCTTGATTACTGTCCACAAATACTTTTACTGGTTTATCTAATGACATAGCAGCTAGATCTTTAACTTCATCTGTCATAGTGGCTGAAAACAAAATAGTTTGTCTGCTCCTTGAACACTGTTTTATAATATGCTTCATTTGCTCAGCAAAATATTCATCCAACATTCTAAACAAAATGTATATAATTTTAAATTCAATCAAAATCAAAACATATCTTTTAAATGTAGAAAATGTTTGTTAAATACCTATCTGCTTCATCTAAAATAAGTACTTCTATGCTATCCAAAGAAAAAGTTGGTGTGTTCGTTAAATGATCAATCAATCTTCCTGGAGTTGCAATTACAATATCTGGATTCTTGCGTAATACAGTTTCCTAATCGAATATGTTTGTTATTAAATATATATAGTTTTACATATCAATATAATTTACTTACTTGAATTTTAACATCTAATCCACCCACAGATAATCCTACTTCAATCGTAGTAAATTGCGTTAACTGTTTAGTAACTTGATATACTTGTACCCCAAGTTCTCTCGTTGGTACAAGTATCAGAACTCGTGAAATAGCAGGACCATTTATTGGTCTGTACAATAATCTTTCCACAACAGGAAGTATATAAGCTGCAGTTTTGCCAGTACCAGTCGCTGCACAACCACATATATCACGTCCCATTAAAGCGACTGGTATAGTAGCCGCTTGAATAGGTGTTGGATGAACAAATTTCATTGTCGTTATTGCCTGTAATAAATAAATCATTTATTTTTCGTTTCATTTTGTATAAATACAGTTATCATATTTCCAATATTTCTATTTCGTACCTTTAATAACGGTCTTGATAAATTCATTTGTTGGAAAGAAACATATGATTCGACGTTTGTAAATTCTTCAAAATTAATTGTTTCTTCATTCTGTTCTTTAGTACTTTTTTTTCTTTTTCCTTTTTTTCCCTTTGTTTTAAATGCATCTTTTTTGAGTTCATCCTCTGATAAGGAAAACTCATCATCTTCTTGAGAAATTTCTGATTTGTTCTCGTTGTCGTCATCGACATCTTTATTCTAAAAGAAAAAAAAACGATATTATAAATATTTTGTTAAACTTATTAATTTTGTTATTACATATATACCTCCTTTTCCTTCTGCTTTCTAATACTTTTAATTTTGTCATCCAATTTAGTCTTCACTTTTCTTTTAATGTATTTACTTAAATCATTCCACGTATCTTGATTGTATTCGGAAGCATCATTTACAAATTGAAAATCAATATCAAAATCTTTTTTTTCTTGCCTTTTTTGCTTACGTGGCTGAAACTATTTAAAATATTAAAATATTTAAAAAGAAATAGAACATTATACTTCTATTACAATTCTTAATATTATACATACATATGAAAAATAAATGTTAAATAATAGAAATTGTATTATTAAGAACAACTTACATTGTCTTCCTCGTCTGATTGTTCGGAATAATTAGGCACTTCTTCATCATCTTCAATAGTTTTTATCAAATCAAAATTAGATTTCATTTTTTATAATTCAAACACAAATCAGTTTTATTAAGGTTATGGAGATGCAAGAACACGTGGATATAAAGTATACCAAAATTGAATACATAAAATTATAAGGAAAGTATTGCCAACATGTTTTATACCAACAAATCCTCGAATGTTTGTTAAATTTCATTTTTCTTACGTTGGTATTATGAACAGTCATTTCAGAAAATAAAGGCGGGACACCTAGTATTCCCGCGTATTCTGTAGATTTTCTTGAATGAAAGTTTGAATATCCATCAAAACTCTATTTACTTTTATTTACATATCCACAAAATCTTTATCAGTGATAACTCAAAAATGGGTATTTTGGGCTTGTCAAAACTAATAGCTGATATAGCACCTGGTTCAATCAAGGAACGAGAATTGAAACATTATTTTGGTACAATAGTGATATCACTTTGTTTATATTCATTTAAAAAGATCTTATTTTATTAATTTAATTTTTTCTATTTTTATTAGGTAGAAAAATAGCAATAGATGCATCCATGTGTTTATATCAATTCTTGATTGCTGTTCGCAGTGAAGGAGCACAACTTACAGCAGCTGATGGTGAAACAACAAGGTAATATCAAATAATTCAATATATTAATCATATACACTGTAATGATTGTAATGTAAACACCATTGGAGTGCACATACACACACGCAACGCACACAAAACAAACATTTAAATAAAATATTTATTTATTATATAAAATATTTTTGAATCCATTTGTCATTCTCTTTTTTGATCATAGCCATTTAATGGGAACATTTTATCGTACTATACGTTTAGTAGACCAAGGTATAAAACCTGTATATGTTTTTGATGGGAAACCACCAGATTTAAAAGGTGGAGAACTTGCTAAACGCGCTGAAAAAAGAGAGGAAGCACAAAAATTGTTGCAAGCTGCAGAAGAAGCTGGTAATTTTTTATATCATTTTTGTTGTTGTATATTATTTATTTACTTAAGTACACCACTTATTATTTAGTTTATTATTTTTTATTATAATAAGGAAATGCTGAAGAGGTCGATAAATTTAATAGAAGATTGGTTAAAGTTACAAAAATTCATTCTGATGAAGCCAAGCAATTACTTAAATTAATGGGTATACCATATGTCGATGTAAATAAATTAATACTTATAAGTGTCGAAAAATGAGATTGTCATATGTATTAATGTCTATTTATATTGGAAGGCTCCGTGCGAAGCTGAAGCTCAATGTGCTGCTTTGGTAAAAGGTGGAAAAGTTTATGCGACAGCAACAGAGGATATGGATGCTCTTACTTTTGGATGTGACATTTTATTGCGTCGTTTAACTTTCAGCGAAGCTAGAAAAATGCCTGTTCAAGAATTTCATTTTAATAAAGTATTAGAAGGTTTGGAATTGAATAAGGATGAAGTAAGTACTTTTATTATGACTCCATATCTAGTTTTAGAATTAATTAATCGATCTGCTATTTCATATAAATTTTCAGTTTATTGACCTTTGCATTATGTTGGGTTGTGACTATACAAACAGTATTAAAGGAATTGGTCCTAAAAGAGCAATAGAATTAATAAAAACACATAAGTCTCTTGAAAAGATTATAGAAAAATTGGATACTAAAAAATATACTATACCGGAAGATTGGAATTATAAGCAAGCAAGATTGTTATTTAAAGAACCAGATGTTGCAAATGTCGATGACATTGAAGTAAAATATTATATATGAAATATAGTAATTATATTTTTTTATATACTCGATATTAATTAAACAAAATTTGTTTCATTTTATAAGTTGAAATGGTCAGAACCAGACGAAGAAGGTTTAGTAAAGTTTTTATGTGGTGACAAACAATTTAATGAAGAACGTGTTAGAAGTGGCGCAAAAAAATTATACAAAGCTCGTAATACAACGACCCAGGGTAGACTTGATTCATATTTTAAAGTATTACCGACTCCAAATTCAAATCCACAAAAGCGTAAGGTAAATTTCAAAACCTCTTAATTCTTTTCAATGTTCTAATAATTTTTTGTATATATATATATATATATTAATAGATAGAAGAAAAGAAGGGATCATCTAAGAAAGGCAAAACTGGTGGTAATAGTAAATTCAAAGGAAAAGCAAAATAAAATTTATATGATAACGATTACTATGTCTCGAATAGAAAAATCTTAAATATGATGCAAGATCTCAAAATATCTACTTTTATTTTATATCTAAAATCTACTGTAAATCGTCAGTGTTAATAATACGCTCAATTAAAAAGCAATACATGTATGTGATTAATAATTTATTAAGTATTTCAAATCGACTGATACATATATTAAGAATTTATGTTTTATAAAAACTGTATCTCAATCTTGATTTAATATTCCAATATAAAAGAATCATTGCATCAATAAATAAAAATTTACTTTCTTTTGTAAGTGCATTATTACTTTTATTTGTTTTTTTTTTTTTAATCTTATAGTTTATTCTCTTTTTATAACTTTAGCAATGCGTAAAGCGAGCTTAAAAGAATAACATGTGCATTTATTTTTTTCTACTTCATCAGTCTTAACTTTGGTAGCATTGCAATGATGATGATATTTTTTTTCTACAATAATATACCTCGATGATAACATCTTAATGTTTTAATGAGAAAATTATTTCAAAATGATCTATTTTTAAAATTTTATTATGGTACTTCCAATAGCATCCGGATCTAATATGTGATGTAATGCTTCTTCGATATTGTGAGGAGTATAAACTCTATCGACGACAGGTTGTATTTCATCTGCATCGGTTAATTCAGATAATGCTTGCAAGTACTCGACTTTTATTTTAGAACCTTCTTTCCATTGGTGTATATTACAACCAAATATATACTAAAGATAATTATTAATAATTTAATAATATTTTTTATAATAATTTAATATTCATTGTTTACATACCTGTATTAATAATTTAATGCGTACACATCCAGCAAATATACTTCCTGATATAAATCCCAATGAATCTGACATTAAATGTTCAGGCATTGTTGTCACGAAGGACCCATGAGGATGTAAATATTTTTTTAATATATGTGATTCCGTTAATTGACCACTGGTATAAAAAATTGCATTAAACCTAAAAAGTTCTGTTTTGAATTTTTAATAATCATCCTAACAGTTTTTTCTTTTTTTATTAAAAGTATACCATACTTATCATGAAGTTCTAACTCCTTCTCAATATTTGATTCATTTAATGATAAAACTTCATCAGCACCTAAAGCTCTCATTACAGGTAGAGCATTTTGTCTAGATGCTGTTACTACATAGCCGCCCCATAATTTTACAAGTTGGATTAAAATACATCCAACTGGAGTATTACCTCCGTATATAAGCACCCTATAAAAATATAGCTTTGTTTCATTAGGAGAATGATAACCTTAAGAAAATTGAACATTATTTTATCAGAGCTATTGTCATTCAATTGTAAATCTTTTTTAATAATTATACTTTTTGTATTACCTTTGTCCTTTTGCATTGCCTTCTTTAATAATAGACTTATTAACTAAAGCATCCCATGCCATGCAACCGCTATAAGGAATACTCGCAGCTGTTTCATGAGTACATCGTTTAGGTCGCTTAACTACTTGAGTTTCTGGAACAGTTATGTATTCTGCCATGGTACCAGGTGCCCATGAAGGTACAGCAAGAAATACTTCGTCTCCAATGTCAAAATTAATAACGCTTTGTCCAATATCAATAACTATACCTGAACAATCCCTACCTAATATTATTGGAATATCTTTATGCCTCTGGAAAGAGAAAAAAACTCAATGTTACAATAGCATGCTAATTGGGTACAAAGAAAACTGAAAAATAACACAAAAGTAAGTATTTAATAGGATAATTAATATTTTTTTACTCTAGAATTTAGGAGTCTTCTATAAGCTTTTGAATAACCAGAACATATTTTTGTATCAACGACGTTAACCGAAGCAGCTTTAACTTGTATCAGTAAATCGTTAGATTTACGAATCGTTGGCATTTCCGCATCATCTATCATTGAAACACCCTGCATTAAATACGATGATATTTATATATTTATATTTATATAATGCAAAGTTTTTGTTAATTATACATAGATATATGTATATATATATATATTGTTTATGATGTACCTCTGTACCGATATAATGGTGACATATAATAGCTTTTATATAATGCATATGGTGGGAATAATAAATCCAATTCCTACCTATGATATAGCCTATTAATGTACCTATCGATATACCTGCTAGACAAAATATGATCTCTCTTCGTGTGACTGAAATAAATATATTAAATATATATTGGAAAATTAGTGGATCGTCAGAATATTTTCTTATGAAATAAACATTTTTTATAATAATATATAGTGTAAAACGTTTGTAGGATTGAAATAAATTAATGTCATACCTTCATTAGCACATATCGCTGGTAATTGTTGATAAAATTGTGTAAAATTAATATGAATAGAATAATATTTGAAATGTAACTGTTCCCAAGATTTTTTAATATACGTTAGCAGATTATGTATGATATCTTTCATATACTGCACATGTTGATCGCTAGATAATTCTTGAATGTACCTTTGACAGTACGTTAATAATGCAGAAACCCATTGTTGTCCTTGTTGAATCGCTAAAGATGCTTGAACCTTATCCCAAATTTCTTTTTCAATTATTTCATACTTGCAGAGACATGAGAAATATATTTCTTTCTATATGTATATATGTATGTATGTATATTATTATTATTGTTATTATTATTATTATTATTATTATTATTATTATTATTATTATTATTA